CGGGGGCGACTCTTATTGCAAACTATTTTCAAACGACGATATTCGGCCACTGTTCGAAGTTCGAGGTACAGAGTGGTCAAGTGTGGTGTGTGTAGCTGCTGCATCCACCCCGAGAGCTTAACGAAGTTTACTTTCAGGTAGGCTCCAAATCCAAATCTGAGGTTCTTCGATTTATTTTTGTTCGGTTACCAGTGCGCGATTTCGAAAAGGCCGGTTCTTGAGTGTACATTTGGCTTGTTTGATGTGACTTTTTCGATATCAAAGCTCGCGGTCTCGGAGGAAAGTTTCGACCGTTCTCCGTCAAACATAATTCCAGAAAGTCTTTTGAATTCAAGTGGGTAGTGAATGCTGATCTTTGGAATATTCACTGGGAGGTGATTCGATAACTTTTCCAGATTTTTTTGCGACAATGAGATCTTTATTAAGTCGAGTGATTCCACCCTATAATGATCAGGGCAGACCGTTCTGTTCGTTTCTTAACTCTATGTTTCTGCAGAATTTTGAGGTTACTAAGCGAGTAGGCTCGATTCTAGGAAATTTTGAATTGATACCCTTCACATAAATCTCATTGCAATTTTTTTTTTTTTTTTTTTCGCGTGAATGTGGCGATACCTCTCTCTAGGCTAGGTTTGAATATTAATTTAAAAAAATCAAAGTTTTTCCTCTCTCCGTGTCAAAATGCGCTGTGCAAACTAAAAATGGAACGAAACATTTTTAGAAAGACGGACTTTGACGGGTAGCATCCGTCAAAATCCGATGAATGCTAAATCAGCTGACGTGTAAGCTAGGCTTTTAGCATTCGCTAATCCCAAAGTCGCGCAATAGAGGTCAACCGAAGTTGGCATGCTACACGACTTTTGATTTTTGAGAACAGTTAAACACCCTTAATGATTAAACGCTACCAGTGAATTTCATATTCAAAATGACATTTTTTCTTTCACACAATATTCTTAGAGAAAGAATGAATGCGTTCTTTTTTCACACAGAATGAGGTAGACATCCATTCTGAACTCTGCTAAATTCCGCATCCAAGTGACATGTGCGCAAATGGTGAACTAACTTCGATAACGCTGACCTCTCGAATGCACCAATTTGATGCTAATTTCAATGCAGATTTGCGCATAGAGGATCTAACTTTATTCCAATTAAAATACAAGGGAAGATAAGACCATCGAGTCTAAGATGATCGAAACTTTAGCTTATATGAATTCGCCTTCCTCTTCCGGTTCTCTCTTTCTCTCTCTCTCACTTTTCATTAAACGGTGTGAAAAATAAAAGTAATCATGGAAATTATGTTGGGATCAGAGTCGGATCAAAACTACATCAAAGATATTCATTGGATTGCATTTTGCAAGAAGGAACTATTATTCCTGACTTATTTTCAGAACGACAAAATATGTCATTGGTTTTTTTCATGCAGATAGATGCTCATGCGGATGAATCAGTAATTTTAGTTCCCTATTGCAAAATGCAGTCCTACTGTCGTGTGAATTCGCGACTGTAGAGTCAAACGCTAAATCCTCTCGGATTTTGAATGCTTTAGCAACGATACCCCCTTCAGAAAACCAACTTGTGTAAACGTAAAAATAAAACGAATTCTAGAGAAATAACCCAATACAGTTTTAAAAATTAAGAGGCTGTAAAGTCTGCAATTAAAGAACACCATGTATTCACCTTCCTTTTTTCGGATATTGAATAAGAGGACGGGACATTCGCTCAGGAAATTTTAGATCGAAGTTTCAACTTCACATAATACAAGGAATTTAGTGGTTTTCTCCGAGGCGAAGTTAATCTTGACAATACGGGCAACTTGTCAAGAATTTCCGATGTATTTGGCAGATTCTCGAGTCGTAATTAACGCTCCTCGTAAACACCATTTTAACGAGTAAGGAACTTAAATGGCTAAACTTCAAAACTGTGTACCTCCATTGCAACGTTTCAAAATTTCCATCATACCTACTTTATTTTTAGAGGGAAAACAAACAAGCATCTCTGCCTTTTTATGGTTACTCCATCAAAATTTTAAAACGAAATGATGATTTGCAAATCCTCCTAAAGCCAGGTATCCGCTGGAATTCTAATATTTTGCGATAGCAATACGTGTTTTTTGATGGTTAAAGCCATCGACTTGTTCTTTATCTTCTTGCACTGCCAAAAATCAGACAGTTCATTTCACTTTCACGTCTGGTTTATACATGTCTCATTTAGTACGAGTTGACAATGCTTTGTTTATATACATTTTAATATTACGTCAATAAACTCAATAGTAAAAACAATTGTTTTTTGTGCATTTGCGCCCAACAGGGCCGGATCTTCTTACTTGCCGCCCATGAGCCGCCTGTATTTTGCCGCCCCCTTCTCATTCGTTTTGAAACATCAATAAAAACCATCAAGTGAACGTGCCGGAGGGGGAGGGATGCAGAAGACGCGTTTACTCGTGTTGGACACATTTTTTGCGAAAGCCCTGTCAACACTATGAGCGAAAGTTCACGAAACTTGGCGCGAAAGTTAAGTTCCTTAAACCTATCTCTGTGTGGACAAGGCCTTCCATTCATATGAAATGAACGAACAAATTATGAAAGAACAAACATAAATGTGGTTTAATAATTTTAACTTCCGCCGCCGCGCCGCGCTGACCGCAGCTACCGCACTGTCTTTGACGCAATGCGTGAAGTATTAATGCAGTCTTGTAGGCGCTATGCGTTTCACGCCGCCCGCAGCGACCGCACTGTCTTTGACGCAATGCGTGAAGTATTCATGCAGTCTTGTAGGCGCTAATACGTGTTACATGCCAACCGCCGCGCCGAGGATTTCTCCTTTTCATCTCAAGTTCTCGTCATCATTGTTCTCTGCGCCGCGCCATTCCAAGCCAAATTCCGTGTTCGATTTCTCTCTTAGTCTTAACTCGACGAATTGAAGGTGCTGCCTATTGTATCACAGAGAGACGACAAAAATAGAGGTATACTCTCAGGAAATGAGAGATTTTGTCACCTTTTCCCGTTTGTATTTTTTTTCTGAATCCGATTTTTCTTTATACCTACATTTAAAAAAAATTGCAAAATTTGCCGCCCTCTAAATTTGCCGCCATGGGCCACCCCCTAAATCCGGCCCTGACGCCCAATGGGTTTTTTTTTTTATTTTGATAAGAAAGATTTGAAAATCGTAAAGCAATCGCCTTTAGTAGCGAAAAAGAAAAAGACCATTAGTCTTGAGCACCCAATTCCAGATCCAAGAGGGAACCATGAGGCTAACCGGGCCTTTGCTCAGAGCGCCCTTTTGTTCTGCAGGAGGCTCAGAATATTGGGGGTTTTCGGTCATGACTTTCATTATACTATCCGTTACTATTATGAAGAACCGCAAGAGATGCTGTTACAGGGATATCTGATACTGTTTACGTGGATACGGCAGATGGTATAACATGTATAATAGCATATTACGTTAATTAATGAAGTAACATGACTCCATTCCAAAGTTGCAAAATTGACTTAAACAGTTCAATTTTTTACAAAAATGTACTTGGGTAAATTTTTCTCCAAATTTATTTGATTTTTACATAAGGCCAAAGGAAAAATCAGTGAAATCTTCGGTCAGAGGTGCCTGAGATTCTCCCAGTAAGAATGCAATATACCAGAAGAAATTTGGCAACATTGAAATGTAGTTAGTGATGGGAGAAACGATGAATACAAATTACTCTAATGACAGTCCATATTTAAACAGAGAAAAACTAGACGAAAACGTAAAATGCCCAATTTTGAAAGATGTCTCTCATGTTCTCTCATCGAATTGGTGGGTGAAAATCGAAATAGGTGTGCATTTTATTGGAATAGTCGCTTAATTTTCTGCGGGGAAGATAAGTGTACGGAATGTGCTCTCCCCTACTCTTGCCATCCCATCCGAACATCCCATGAGCGCGACTGGATCTATTCTTAGATCTGAATAGAGTGCGTTGTGAGCTATGTGTTTCAGAGAGTAGCTTCTTTATGCTCCTCGCCTCTACAGAATTGCGAACATCGCGCAATTGTGACTAATCTGCAAAAAGGTTATTAACATTAGGAATCGAGATGAAACTTCAAATGTGGATTTCAAAGTAACTCTGGGTATAATCTGAAAATCACGTAATCCGCAAAAAATCGGCCACGGCGCCTAAAAAATGAAGGCTCTGCGCCAACGTGGCCCCTAAAAATTGCCCCCTAGAAATCTGAATTTTCATATCAGGTGATTATTCAAAATTTTCAGCACCACAAGTGAAAGCTTTTTCTATTCTTCACGATTTCATCATTCGTGTTTTTGTCTTTCCCAAGTTACAGCTACTTACTATTTCTGTTACGAAAACATCTTGCGTCTAACTTTTCACTAATTGCGCCGTAATATATAGACAACAAGTCAATTTGGCCTCTAAAAAATCTTCAATGGCGTAGTCAAAGGGGGAGGGTTCAGAGGGCCTGTAGCCTGTACCCCCCCCCCTCTTAGCCTCGTTAATTGAACTTTTTTTTACTTTTGGAGGGCAGGCACAAAATATTATCAGGGACGTACACAAAATAATGTAAATTTACCGTCACGTTTTTGAATGGACCAGGACCCCCCCCCCCTTTAAAGAATTCCCAGCTACGCCACTGTAACATACAGGTTACAGAGGTAGCCATTTACCTATATAAGTGGTGTGCCAGCCACGGGTCAGATACCGACAGGGTACCTTGAAACAAATCTTTAACTCTCGCCGCCGCATGACTGTTAGCCGAATCGTTGACCCACTTCGGGGCGTGCCCCAAAGGGTGCCCACCCGATCCACCGACTCCGCGGGGCGCGAACGCGTGACACACCGCAGACGCGCCGAGCTCCGACCTTGAGCAGTATCGTTGACCTAGTTGCACAGTTTTAGCCCGGGTTCGCGCTCGGATCGGCTACCTCCGCCCCCGCCAGCGGATTAGCGATTGGCTCTTGTGACACACTTCGGAGCTAGGTTAATATTTCGAGGGGTAAGACCTTGACTGCAAAACTGCAGGCTGATTCGGGTGCATTATTTAAGGCAGTGTCATAGTTGTGTTTCATCATATACGGATCTAGGAGGGGGGGGGGCGTAGGGGATTGTCCACCACCCCATTGGCCCGAGAAAAGGAGGGGAAAAAGAGAATTAAGAAAGAAGGAAGGAACATAGGAAAAGAAAAAGGAAAGTTGAATTGACTCAAACTGCATATTAGGTATAAGTTTCAAAAAGTTTCTGGGGGAGGCCTCCGGACCCACCTTACGCCCCTCCCCCCGTTCGAGGTATCTAAATCCGCATATGTGCTTCATAAGGGCACCGCTGACAATGGATTTTTTGGATTTTTGGATTTTGTAACCACTTCGATTCATTGGTCATTCCAACGACTATAAACACATATGACCGTCAGCAGGAAAAAGGACTTTAATGCCCGAACACAAAAGTTTAAATTGAGATATTGTTACTACTGATGAAAAGGATGTCTTGAAAAAAGGTTGGCATAAAACTCTCAGAGGTGTAACACAAAATTAGAGTTACGCCGCGGGTAAAACAAAAACCCGTAGTTTTGTGCAAAGCTACTTAAAGTTTTGATCGATCATGCTCATTGTTCAAAACCATCCGATTGTAATGCCATTTTGATCTCTGTATTAGTACAAAAATGAGCTAAACCGCTGGCAGCTTTATCTTGAGATAACAGAGATAGAGTATATCAAAATCCTAATTTTCACCTTTTTTCTATCTAATTGCTCTCCCAGAAAACTTACCTTCAAAAATTGCCTTAAAATGTAAAAATGTCCAATCGATCGACCGAGCAATAAATTGTTTTTACAGATAGGTTCACCAATGTTATACTGGTGCTCTCATCGGATGCCACCAGGCTATACTTTTTTTAATAAAAGGGGCCTCATCAGACTTTTGGAAACCAGTGGCATGGCGTGCTTTGCGATATATCTATTGATCTGCCTTTTAAGCCAACGGGAAAGGATCGATAAACGGGGTGTACGGCGTGTTCGCAACGAACACGCCTTAATAATTGATTCTTTACTACGACTAAAAATGGGAAAATATCGATAATCGATCATTCACGGCTCGAAACATCAGAATATTAACGATTTGATACTCCAGTAATGGAGATTTATTTCCGCAGTATTCGCTCCTGCATGTGAACTAAAACATCAAGTTTGTGGACTTAGCAATAAGCGGACAAATTCAAATTAAGTTGGGTGCTTCTCATAAATATGGTTCCAGAACATAGAAGAGAGATGAAAAAGATGAAAGAATTGAAAAATTTCGGTCGCCAAAACTTTTAATTGAACGCATTTCGTACGCCACGCGCCAGCTGGTTCGAGAAAATCCGCCCGCGCAACTATTCGAGCACTGGTGCCGACGGGTGGTATGCAACATGTTGGAAGGCGAATTAGGGTTTCCCATTGTCAGTAGCATTTCGCAGCGGTTATATTCTGAAAGACATTGGCATTTTTGAGAGGTGTTTAATGGATTTGATGCATTCGTCAAAGCCTTACATCAACCGTCTAAATTTGCTTGGTGTTTTTATATTCGTGCAGCAACATGACGAAATTACTACTCCGGACTTCCGCTAATCCCGTCATTAAAACAGTCTATTCTGAACGATGACACCACACTATACATGTTTCTTCCGGAATCATGTTAACTTTACGATGTTTGTACTTTAAGGTAGATCGTATTTATGTTATTCCATAACCTTAACGACGGATCATCATAGCTTTTACTCGTTAATATTTGCGTTCTTCCGACTTTATTCCATTAAAACTGATTTTTATGGCAAGTTTGAGAGCTTTTTCACTTTGCAACATTAATACCATGGGCATTCGTTTTTTATGAGAAATAATTTCGAGTTCATTAAATTACTTTCTAAACATAAATGTGGTGGAATGACTGAATGTCAAATGTGTCTGACACGTCACCACATACTTTGAAACCAACAGTGATTACGCAATGATTTAAAGGATTGGTCAGAAGTTGAGCAAAGCATCCTAGACAGTGTTCTGCCATCCCGCTAAAATTTTAGAAGTCACCTTGGCCGGAAAGCCCAATTTTTAGGAGCCAAATTTTTGTGCATACGGGCCATGACGATGCTGCGAACGGTGCGTATAGAGAGTGCTTCATCGCTACCGCTGCTTCCCGAATGCGAGTTAAATCTGTCAAATTTTCTAGGCGCCTCGATGGCCTAGGCGCCTCGATGGCCTAGCCCCCCCCCCCCCCCCCCTCCCCCGATTTTTAGGCGCCAAAGCCCGATTTTTAGGCGCATTTGGCGCATGGTGCCAGGGAAGGCAGAACACTGATCCTAGACGACACGGTCGCCTTAACAGCCGAGCGATGATATCTGCTTGTCTGCAGTAGCTACTGAATAGCTTTTCCAGACGATGAACAGAGATTATGGGTCAATTTTTTCTGCTTTTATACGCTCCGCAAGTTGCCGAATATGTCGTGTCTCGTGTGACTGCACGAGTTCGTTCGCTTGGCATCGCGAAGTTCTTCAGAACCTGAAAGCTGAGATCGAATGTTTTGCATGTTCTTTGCGAGCCAACTGTGCTCGCGGAGAGCTTTCGACGTGCCAAAACGAAGAAAATCAAATTTAAAAGAATAGTCTCAAGGCTGTCTTGGCAAACCGAGCATAAACAATAATTCTTCCGCCTGTTTATCAACAATAACATATTGTTTATTTTTTTAAAATATTTTTCTTGCATACCGGAAATATTTTTTCTCCTAGAAGGACGCCTTTTTCCATGTCCAGTTGGACGAGGTAACTTGTGTCAATGAGTTTCGTTCTATACCTAGCCTCCTTTTTTATGTATTCTATAACATGACACGAAGGGCTTCTTCTATGTATTCGTCGGGAATTTTCCGAGTTTTAACCTCTTAGGCACCTTCAGACCTCTCTAAGGGTTACGTTTTGGTTCTAATGGTTCATGGTTATTGCCTACACCGGAAAAATCGTGAAGTTGATTTAACATTCTCGATGTGAAAAAAAGTGTGCGATAAATTATAAAATATTGAATTTACCCACCACAGCAGTTACTTTAGCAATGTGGAGATGTACGAGTAACTGGCGGGTAATTAAGCATTTTATAAGTTATAGCGCATTTTTTTTTACATCTAAAATATTTAGTCAACTTCACTTTTTTTCGGTGTATTAGTTCAAACAGTAAAAACAATTGGTGTAACGCTCTCCGCGACCTCCCCCTAGAGCGTTACGTAATTTAGAAACGGTCCCTATTTTCTGACTCTTTACTTTTAAAAATAATCGTAATTTGGTAGTTTATTCTAAACCAACTTCGGGTGTTGATGGTTTTATTTCTCCAAGAAAAATACACGGGGTCCATCCTTTTTAAAGCTAGGTACAGGTTTCCAACCAAGCAGCACGGAACATGGCTGGAACCCAAGTTAACAGCCCATGAATGAGATTCCACCCGTCCCGGGCTTCTGCAAGCCATATTTTCCGCGCGCGAGGGACCATAAAACCACGCGGCCATTAAGTCATTAGCGCCGTTAAAAAGTCTGATGAGATCATCGGAAACCTCTTAAATGTTGTGAACGTGTTCCCCTCTTACTCGGGGTTCGACGTTTTTATGAGAAAATGGAGATGTCCAAAATAATAACAGCGACGTGAGAGCACTCCACGTGGATAAGTGCTCATTTTCCCCCGGTTTTTTTTCTTTATCTTTTTTTCGCTACAGTTGCGCAAAAATCCCTTCACGTCCGGTCAGGCGTTGCTGGGCATCGGCCAAGACTTGCAAATTTACAGATGTTCCTCCTCAATAAATCCACGAAACTCGATTGAAGCTCCGCGCTGCACTGAAAGCGGGCTATTTTTAGAGGGCACGCGGATCGCCCGTGAATGTTATTTTCCGGCGACGTTGCCACATGGTAGGCATCGATAGAAATGTCAGTTTTTAAACCCTATTTCGGGTAAATTAACCGTTTTTTTCTCCCTGCGCGTGTAAAAATTATAGTGCTTGCGCGCGCGAATAACATGAAAAAACTTATCTGTAACGAAATGTACCTTATTTTTTTCGAGAATGAAGCACTTTTTATGACTACTAAGCAGCACTATTGCGAATCACTATTATCCATGTTTGCCGTAATTTACGGACTTAGAGCGGCGTCTCAAAACTTACAAACACGTTTTGCTTTCGATGAGCGAGCATGCGCACTGGTCCCACTTTGGTTTAATTAAGAAAATTCCATTGAAAAATCAATTCAGGCAGTATTCTTGGCGCGTGTTCAACTTTGAAACTTTAACTGAAGAACTGAATTATTTTATAAGCGTACTTATAAATCAACCTTTCCACAGAGTTTAAAAATTAATATCTTCCGGTGCGTTACCATTAAATTGCTTTTTGTATGAACCTAAGTAATTCTGTAACATTAGAACTCTTTTTCTACGCAGATTTTTACTTCATTTTATCATCTTCTCTATCAGCTTTTACTTTTTCCCCTTATTTCTCCCTTCTTCTTCGTTAACATGCGCACTATACGCACTATACATGCTCCATGTGTACTCACTTCTCTGGTTTGTGAGCCGTCTTTTTTCTTTATCGATTATTAAAAACTATGTCTATTTTTTTAATGTTGCAGATAGTTCGAGTTAAGTAACGAATAGACAAAATGTTGTTAAAGCAGCACTTAGATATGATCGGTAGAAACGAGCCAATTCAGAGGAAAGCAAAATTCTGGCAGTCATACGTCCGAGCATTAAAAGGTAAGATTTCTTTTTTTGATTAATACGTGAGGATGACCGCTTTCGGCAAAATGGAATTCCATACCTATGTGGATACATCTACGAGAGCACCAATTCGAACACGGAGATAAATGACAAGAGTATCGATTCTCATATGAGCAAAAAGAAAGGGCAATTTTTCCGTGATAAACTTGATCAGAATGACATCTATGAATGACAATTGAAAATTACTGGAAACTATGGTTCATATGAGTTGCATGTGGCGAAATGGAACCAGATTTTATAAAAGAAAAAGGGTTTGTTCGTTGAATGCAACATGTTGAATTTCATTCAAGAGTAGCCGAATTCCCCTCAATAAAATTGTAATTTCTGAGGAGAGTTGTGAATATTTTCGCTAAAATTGTTCCAATGATGTAGATCTACTTGCAAAGAAAAGTCTTTGAAATACGAATAAAATTCTAGGAAAAATTGGAGGAAAAATATTCGCAGGTTTCCCGGAAAATTCGCATTTTGTCGGAGGGAATTTGGCAACGCCTGAGGACCCATACGGCGTTCTTCCCCATCGCTGGATTTAGACTTGTACCAACTGAACTTACATTCCAAACTCTAAACATGTGACTATTTTGACATGCGGGATATGTTATTTCCTAATAGATCAATTGAAGCTTACATTTGAAACAATTATCGATGGCTTGGAGGATTAATCGCCTTCAATTTAGCCACAGGCAAAACTAGTTTCTTCAGCTCAGAATATTCGTATCGCAGGGGAAAGGTCCATCCACATGTCAAGTTCTCGGTGGGAAAGTCCATTGCGTAGCTGAAACGGTTATTGCGTGGAAAGATTGCAAAATCTGCTTGGTTTCGTTCGACAAGGGGATCTCTGCCCATATCGAATGCAGTCCTTGTTTCTAAACAAAAAACGGTAACTCCTGGAACTTTCAAAAAAGGAAATAAGAAGAAAAAAATAGCCGGAAAACTTCGGTCCAAACCAATGTTTTTGACCTGGACCTTGAGCTTAACAGTTTTCCTTTTCTCCTATATACTTACAATTAAGTTTTGTGAGATAAGACCTGGAGCGGTGGCTAGACTAACGATAAGTGATAAGTTTATGCAGGCACTGGATAAAACAATCCAAACGATTTTCAGAACCCATAAACTTGTCCGAAATAAATGGGCAGTTATTACATAACCTGAGACGAGGTGCCTGAATGATTTAGATTTAAATTTTTTCCCAACATTTTTGAGCCTGATCAAGTAGTGGAAGAAGCTTTGGAGCACCTCAAAATTTACCAAAATTAGTTTTGCCATGGCCACTTTGCTTGATTCTAGTCCTGGTGGTGTTTCTGGTACTCATTTTACGTGCTTTGAATTCGTCCCGCAACCAGTTTGCCTTCAATGGCATGGCTAAGCAATGATAGCTACTTGAGAGCAGTAATAGTTGCTTCCAGCAGTTCAGCCATATACCTTCGGTTAGATTTTATCACTATCGGATTCCTGTTAAACTCTTTCTTCCTTGCTTTTAGTTTTCTGTGATACATTCGTTAATTTTAATACATTGATTGAACAATGCGAGCTGCTTGAGAATAGTGATAGTTACGTTCACCGATTTGGCCACATTAATTCGGTCTTCACCCACGGAAAAATAAGAAGAACCCGCACCCGCATTGAATACTGTGGGTACGCAATACTTTGGGATTCCCGCCAAATCCGGTCAGCCAATCAGAGGTTCAACGGCCAAATGTTTTACCCTCGTAGAAAAAAACACGGAATTATGACATATTTCGAAAATTCTATATTTTTCTCCAAACCAGTTTAAAATTTCGTCAGTGCAGTATGTTACGAATCAGTTTCCGAGGATTTTGCATTTCCATTGATGGGAAATATTGGTGCGTCTTTCATTCCTAGAAAAATAACGATGAGCTTTGAAATTGTACTTTTTTTCCAACTTAAGTAGCTGTTTTTCACTGCTTAGCCCATACTGACTTCAAAGACATCGGCTCGAGTTGATAAAAATAAAATTTCAAAAATTCAGTTCTTCGTGGTTTTTTTACGAGTTTTAGGCATGCTTCCAATGGAAGGAAACGCAAAATATTTGATAACCGATCCGTGAATAAATTTTGGACGAGATGATGAACGAGCTCCGAGAAAAATGTTTGTTTCCGAAAGATGTCAATTTCTAGTTTTATGCCCCATAAGATTGAGAAACTTGGCCATCAACTCTTTGCGTGGCTTAGCGAATAGCGAGGGAAATTCAGCAGACTGTCTCGGTCGTCTCTTCAAAGTGGCTCTTTGTATCTCGAAGGTTTAATCATAGCATTGACGGATTAATATAACTCTGCGTATAGTGTTCCGCTCTCATTTCCACCGGTTTGCCTTCAGTATGTCGAATAGCCAATATGAGCTGCTTGGGAGCAGTAATAGTTGCTTCCAGCAGTTTGGTCGCGTTTCATCACTCTTCGTTTAGGCATGCACATAATAAGCGGTTCAATTGGATTGCATTTGGTGCAAGGAGTCTCATTCCTGACTTATCGATGAAAGCACTTGGTGGCATGGGAGAGTTAATGGCATATACGTTTTATTGCAATGAGCCAGGAAAAAATAGCGCCTCTCTGCAAAATTAAGTACAGTTTCGTTTTAAGTGGGGTTAATTTTGTTTATTCTAACCAGTTTACGTAGCTTGATCAGGCAATTTGATTGCTTTGAGAACAGCAATGATGTCTAGAAGTAGTAGTTTTACCAACTCTTTTTTGACATGACGTCGGTGGATTAGTAAAATTTTTCATGAATTATTTCTTGTTGAAACCCCTGGTGAAAATTGGCAGTAGAATCTGTGTTCCAAAATACCATAGACCTACAGCCGGCTGTAAGATTCCCAATAGCTTCTATAGCTGGCTACACAATTTCTTATAGCTTTTTATAGCCGAATTAAGCAACTCACAGTCAGGCGATAAAGTGTGTGCTAAACGTCACTAATTGCGGATGTTAGGACTTAGTGAGTTTTTGGACCACTGCTCTCTTTTTGGGCTGTAGTATCTTGATTTATTTTGCGAGGGAAGCTCCGTACTTTTGATGGATGTCTGCCATTCTTAATATATAAGAGCGCCTTCAGTTTCGTATGATACTGTGCAATACCTCTGGTGTGAAATAGTTGCTTCAAGCGCCGTGGCACGTTGCGGTGCGACAGGCGGGCAGCCAGCGCGAAACGCGCATTGGCGCCTACAAACCTAACAGGGATACTTCACGCGTTGCGCAATGCGTGAAGTATCCCTGTTAGGTTTGTAGGCGCCAAAGCGTCGCCGCTCCGCTTTGTGTTCGGCTCTAATATTTTATCTGGCGGAGCCAGCGTTATTCAACTCATGATTTTGAAATGTTTGCACATCCTGTATGGATTATTCTCGTTTTAATTGATGAAAAAAAATATGTATTAAAGGAAAATATAAAGTGTGTTTTGTAAATATTAAGGTAGAACGGTTTTCTAAACTGGCCGTATTTAGTATCGAAGAGAATTTGCACGCTGTGGCAGACTACCGGTTAAAGATGATGATAGTAGGGCGCATGTCGCAAGTTCACCAGTTACAGCGCTTTGAAAGTTGCAGGTTTTGGAAGAAAATTTTCCACAGTATAAAGACTCGTATTTTTAAATAACTCTTCGGTGAGAGATACAACTCGATGGTGAAACTACAGAAATGCGTATTACGGTTGCAGTGTTTCAAAATCTCCGCTCACATTTTATTTTTTCAAGAGAGATTCGAGCGAACCAACATCGTGGCTTAAAATTGCCATAGAATATTTTTCACGTAGAGGAAAAAAATCAATAAATAAAATACGTTTAGTTAGTTTACCACGTAGAGAATATGAAGTGACACGTAGTCTGCAACGCCGCAAACCGAAATGTGCACTTCCGCAGTTTCACCATCGATCTACGACTTGGCAAAGTGTCGAAAGCTACGTCAATGTAGCCATTTTCGGTTCCTACTATATCTACCCATAGAGTCATAGAGTCGTAATGCAAGTGGGAAAGCTGGCGCCACTTTTAAGCATTTTCCAAGCCCCGAATTCCGAGATTCCTGTGCGGCGCCTGGCCCCTTTTTCGATACATAATCGATTGTTTGAGATACACGGGGACCCGGCCATATTCCACACCGCCACTTTGGATCGAATATGTATCAAAAAAGTGACCCCGCACACCGGGCTCGGAACTCGTCGAGCAGAACATGGCGCCAGCTCTCCCATTTACATTACGACTGTATGTACTCTATGCATCTACCCTCTCGTGTGAACATTCTATTAATGAGATCCTGGTGTGGCTGCTTTCAGGAACAGACGACATGCGTGCTCCAGAACACACACACTACTCCCGGTATCCCTCCCGGGGGATCTTCCAGCCTCTGTTGGACGACATTCCGACCTGGCCGAAATCAAAGTCCATCTACGACGACCCCATCGCCCCGAGCGAGCGCATCAGCGTGCCCGGCTACCGCTACCTGCCCATCTCCAGGGAGACCTACGGCATCTCGCCCAGAAACATCTACCCACACAACTACGTCGACTACAACAGATACCCCCGCAACCCCACTGGTACGTACTGAATCTTACCAACGCATCTGTATCCGTAATCTAGTCGTAACCTCTCCAACTACGCGGAGCAACCTCATCATCCGCACGGATACGTAACCTCGACAATCAAATCACGCGTCTTGTTAGAGATCACTCCTGACACACACGCTCACACAGACACCTAGCCATCAAGCACTCTGATAAGATGCTCTGTACAATTTTTAAAACACCGACCTTCCTCAATCACCTCTCCTTTAGAACAACACTGATCACACGAAACCTCCTAAGTGGGATGAGCTCTTTATTCCCTTTATAAAAATGAAACAAGGGAAGAAAATGTAAAGAAAGCAATTTAAACCGCACTATAGAGCTAATAGCACACTGATAAACAGATCTCAGCCACGCACAAGAAGTTTTTCTTGGTGCAACCTAATACAAAAACATACTTCCAAAAAAATTGCGTTGATTGATGCAACGCAACTTCAAGACCGTTTTCAATCGTCTCCCAAGTCCCAACATGTAAAGAGCTCTATTTACGAAGCGAGTATGTAGGTAAATAATTTCACTTTCACACCTGCATCAGTTTGGATACAACTGAACTATGTTTTTTTTTCATTACACGACTTATACAATTTTTAACGACCTTTGTAACCCGAAGTTAGATAGACGACCGGATCGAAGATTGCACATGTTATTTTACTTGAATTATATCTCTCTATCTTTATAAGTTGAACGTTTAAACGTTGACATTTTAGCGTGCACTTTTTTTTAATGTCCCGAGCCAGTTCCGGTAGCAAAATTCTGTTTTGCTACAAGTGAACTTGGTTATCCACCCTCCCTTTTTTATAAGTATTATATTCCTTTTTTGTTTTTTGGATGATAAGGTTAATAAGTAATTCTCCTCACTCGTTTTCCCTGACGGTTCTGTCATGCATACTTTTTTGTTTTTTGATGCATATATTCGACCCCCTCTCTATGTTCCTGAGATCCATCCGTGATTTTTTAAACCATTTTTGTCCAACCTAAATTCCATGTTCGTGACCTCCCTCAACCCTCTCAATGTGCGGACACAGAAAATCGAGCTATCCCGTTTTGTGTGTAGGGCGGGTTGCCAATTCCTCAGTGATCCCCAGCTAGGACGCCCGCCATGTTGCCGCATCCCTGCCCATGAAATCTATGTTCAGGGTCCCTTGAAAAACCTCTTTGTTTCATGTTATATTCTGCGAGGATGCCTCCGTAAACATACTCCACTTGCCCGTTGATTCAACGCTAACCTCGAGCATGGGCCGATGTCATGGTTTTAAATGTTCAACATTAATGACTGAATTGTTGTGTCGTCCAACTGTTTGATACATGTTTGTGACGGGATGGAACCGCCCGTGAAGTTTGGAACTCCTCCGTTGTGCGCTGCCTCCGTTTGTGATCCCTGAGTTGTCCCTTGAATGCGGCATGAGACGTTAGTAACACATCGAGAACAAGAAATTAAAGTTGTTTTTTGACTCATGCAGGGCCAAACACACCCAACTCGTTCATTGGACACCGCGCAGACGGAGCATTTCAAACAGTTTTACTCTTTAAGCCCCCACTAAAACGGGCACTCGTCTAAGATCTTTGTTTTGTACGGTAAGTATTATGAGTTAAGGACGAGCCATTGTGAGCAAATACCTATTTTTGTTCTGTATTCTGGTATTTGTTTTTGTCCTTATTTTCTGTAAAATCTAATTCAAAAGTCCTAATCGTCTCAATTATTTTCGTTTTCCGACACTACAAGCTTATGTCCTCTTTTCAATAAATTTGCATTCGAAAAGAGCAATTTTTCCAACTCGTTATAAATTGCCTCTTCAAAAATAATAACGTTTACTTTATTAAATTTTCACCGACTTTTCAGAGTTGATAGGACTTTTGAAATTTTTTATCCGCCAATAAGACCAAGGCAGCCTCTCTTCTTGCAGTAAATTAGACCAAAGAGGGAACGGAATGGAATTTAAAATCTAAAATTCGAAATAAAAATTCATCGTCCTCTCTTTTTTTATTAATTTTGTGATCTTTAACGTGTAAAGCTACTTTGAATTTATTTCCAGTAGAGCCTCAACTGGGATGGAACTAGCTTTTTGCAATTTTAAAATTCACTATCTCTCTTTTGGCATGGATTTGTAAAACTTTGACTTCAAAAACAACTCTGCTAATTGTTAGGGATGCCTTTACTATTTACTACTTTTATTACTTTTACCTACTATTACTTATAGCCTTCATTATCATCTTTATTATTATTTTATTTCTTACTTTATTATTAAATTTTAATCTATTTGTACATTATTCTATTTATTTATTTTATTTATTATTGTTAATATTTATATAAGTCAGTTTTGAAAAAATATATACATAAAAATCAATTAGATCCACTCATTTTCATTAATTTAAAGAAAACTTTCGACGAAATCTCATAATACTTCTTGAAATAAAACAATAAAAAATTTGTTTTTTAATGATCTTCTTATTTTTATTTCAAGAAAAGAAATGAAAGAAAATAAGAACAAGAAAAAGTAAAACACATTTTGCGATTTCCAAATGGCTCGGCGACTTTCAAAATTTTTGATGCGCCTAACGCGCAACAGTACAGATGAAACTGAGTACATTTTTTAATTACCAACATCCCTCTTCCAAAAACCTAGTTTTCTTTATCGAGATAAATAAAATAATAATAAAAATTTCTGAGTTAAACTCGGCGTAAATAGTTTAATAATAGCGTCGTTGTGCATAACAAACGCATTAAATGTATTGTTGTCTTATACCCGCTGACCTAGTTTAATGCATAAGCATATTTCGGCGTCTTTAAATAAGTGTCCTAACATTAAAATAATTTATAAATTTTAGTAGAGTAGGCTTCTATCGCTAGTATTTAATTGTGGTCGTCTTATTTTCTCATTTGTTCATTATTCTTTTCGGAGCAGTACGTTGCTATGATACCTAACACCGAGGGCGAAATGAAAAGTGACGCGGCGGATGAACGGACTTTGATATTACAAGAGGCAAACCGTCTCTTATTTCCTTCTCTTCCTAGAAAAAATAAAAATAATACATCAGCGGTTTTTTATTGTAATGAAAGCACTAGTTCGTTCATCAAAAATTTAGGTTCATGTGCGAGCGAAAACATTTCCAAATTCCGAATGAAATTTTTGAAATTTGAAAATTAAGTTACACACTTTAAGTTGCATGGCTAAAACTTTTAAATGGAAGGATCAGGGCCTGAAGTTAAAATTTTCTGAAGGGGGAGGATCCATTTTTAAAAAAAACAAGGTCTGATTCATTGCTGCGGAAGACATTTATGGAGAGATAATATTAGATCATGGAAAACCCTCTTTTCGCACCCTCTCATCCTGATCGTGCTTTTAAGAAGTATAGTCAGTAAATAGTGACTCACCGAAAATGGGGGGGGGGAGTGCAGCATTACGAGACAATTTACCTTAACAAAATGCATAATTATGAGGTGAAAAAAAATTGGGCTTCATTTTGACAAAAAGGAATTTGAAAACCTGAAGAGGGTAAGNGGGGGGTTAAGTCTTCCCAGAGTTGTAAGATAATGTGTCAGGGACAATTCAAGTTTTTAAAGGGTGTGTAATAAGGAGAGGAGCTGGAAGAGAGGACGATCGAGATATCAGAATAAAATATATTATCCCCCTTGAATTATTATATTGTCCAAATAAATCCGCGCGAGCAATTTTTTTTTTTTTTTTTTTTTNTGATACGATTACAAATTATAACGGCATTAAATTGAGGCAGGAATTCCAAGAGAGTTTGTAAGCAGAGACGAGTCGTATAGAGAGACAAGAGTAGTCACGCTGTATAAACTGGGTCGGTTGCTCTATAAATACATTGTGGGTCATCAAAACATTGGTAGGGCGCCATGGGCTGACACGAGTTCTTTTTTCCACAAATTTCTATCGTTCGTGTGAACCATTATCAAAGACCCGCGCGACAAATTTTAAATTCATTGAACATTTTTCCACCGGCGTCGCCCCACCCACCTGAGTCAGCTGACCCTCTCCACCGTTCAACCTAGTTTTCTCTGAGTCAGCCCTGGGTAAGAGCGGGCAGACCCCGGTATACTTATAGTAAAATTGAGTAATTTTGTCCTGCTGAGAGCAAAAATTAGCTTCAAATAGCCATGTATAATTTAATTGAATCATGCAGGGATTTCCCGACAGCTCGAGGAAAATATGCCGTGCAAAAATTGTTATTGGAGACCCCGTAATTAAAGCATGAACATGGCAACTAAACGATGAAAAGTGAGTCACACGAAAAAAAATAACAATCGGACGAAATCCAATCAGCTCCACAGCTGATTTCTAAAATTTAGGATTTTTTGTCTAATTTCATGTTAATTTTTTTAAATTTTAAGCCGTAATATAAAAAAATTAATTACTAAACTTATCTTTTTATACAAAAAATACTGTCATAGATTTTATTATAAAATTTGAACCAAACAACTATAGCGGTTTTTAAAATAGAAATCTTCTTCAAGAAATAATTTATCTACAAAAATTAAAAATTAATCTTCACGTTTTAAATTTCCAACAAAATCTCCGTGTGAAAAAAAAAAAAAAAAATCAGACACGAAAGGTCCATATTGCCATTCTTTATGAAAGCATTGGCGTCAGATATTTTATAGACAATTCCAAGATATTTATAAATAATTTTACGAACATAGATTTATTCGTTTAGTTTTCAACTATGCAAGATTCACAGATAAAAATCGAATCCAATGTCATATCGCCTAGTGGAAACACAAAACCGCGTAAGATCCTTCAAACGTGCACAACAGTATACTATCTGTCAAATGGACAGTACTAAGAAAATAAACGTTCACAGACGAATCATTTTCTTTGCCCCTGCCCTTTAAAGCGATCTCCTTTTTACTAAATTTCCCAAAATTTTCGGCTTTGCTTCTGACTCAATTTTATTCTATTGTAAAATATTTTTCCATCTCACTCCAAATTTGATTGAAGTAAGGCAATGACTCA